TATTGACAGGACAACTGGGGATTGATATGATGCTTTTGACAAGTCAATGATTTTATAAGTTGTGTCAGCAGATCTCAGCATATACAATTGACATGGGATCTGCAGGTGTGAAAAAGTGCCAACCTTTTAGAGTGTGATTTTATATTCTTTAGAACATTGGTGGTTGCTAAGAATCATTAATTTAAATAAATTAGCCATAACCTTGATGCTCCATTTCTCAGCAATATGATTTGAACTTTAGATTCTCCAAGCTTCCTTTCACCACGTGCTGAAGAATTTTGTGAATGTTTGCAATTTTTGGAAATATGTAGATTCTTTTAGTTTTCATTAATTAAAATAAATTACCAAAAACCTTGATGCTCCATTTCTCATCAATATGATTTGAGCATTAGATGCTTCAAGCTTCCTTTCACAGCGTGCTGAAGAATTTTGTGAATGTTTGCAAATTTTTTGGGAAATATGCAGATTCTTGTTGTTTTCTTTGACTCAATATCATCGTTTGCATGGGACCAATTACGCTACTCATATCTCTCAAAAGAGTGTAAGCAGTGCACGAAGATGATATATTAAGGATAGTACTGTGTATGAATAATGATGTCTTTCTGTCTGTTTGGTTGATGTTTACCTTTAACTGCTTGTCTGAATATGAGCACGAGTATTTGAAACCTTAATGACATTACAGATGATCTTTCGCATTTCAAATTTAATTTTTAATCTGTCAATTCTTTTTTATTCCTTAACAGATAATGGTTTGCCATTGCAAACCCCTGTCAGATGGTCGAAGGGGTTGTGGAGACAAATGTTTGAACAGGATGCTTAACATTGAGTGCGTTCAAGGAACGTGCCCGTGTGGTGAACTTTGTTCAAACCAACAGGTGCTTAATTTTCCAGTAAATTTCACATATATTGATTTTGTATTCGCATCTAACAATCAGCTCTCTCTCTCTCTCTCTCTCTCTCTCTCTCTATATATATATATATATATATAGTTCCAGAAGCATGAGTATGCTAAGTTAAAGTGGTTCAGATGTGGAAAGAAGGGATATGGCCTTCAGATGGTGGAAGATATCGCTGAAGGACAGTTTCTTATTGAATATGTTGGAGAGGTGACTTGGATTCTGTTTGCTTAATTTATGCTAAAGTCTTCATGTTGAAAGTAGTTAAACAGTTGTTCTTCCTTGATGGAATGAACGGAAGAGGAATTTTTTGCATCTTATTGCCAATTGGACTAGGTATAAATGAAAGATGATTATTTTAAATCACCTTGTCAATCTGGAGTTGCTGATTATTCTGTCTTCACTAAATTAGCTTTTGATTTTTCTGTTTCATTGTTAGGTGATAGCATCCTAATATTTTGTGGGCTTCATCATTCCTCATCATTAAAATATAGTGTTTATTTTATTTTATTTTATATTATATGTGACACGGTTTCTATGAAAGTTGGAAAACTACGTTATTAAGTTGTATACATGCGATAACAATTCATTTGCCTCCATATTCCCCCCAGGGTTTTATTGTAGTTGTGTTGACCCCTTTTATTGGGGGGTACTGTGGGCATTGCATGAGTGATGGGAGTTTTGGAATTTTTTGTTAATATAGATATTAAAAGTTTGTTTATGGAAATCATTGACCTCTGTCTAGGGAGATTCATAACTGTTATGATCTCAATTTTGTGTTAGGTCCAAACAAAAACGTAGTGATATTTATTGATTTAAAAACTTTCTTCATAGCTTTATATTTTAACAGGTAGAGTAAATTAAACATATATGTATTCATATTCATGAGTATTTATGCAATTAGGTTCTTAATGAGGCAACTTCACTTCTCATATGCTGATGTTTCTTTATGGATTTCACAGGTGCTTGATATGAATGCTTATGAAACACGTCAAAAAGAGTATGCTTTGAAGGGTCATAAGCATTTTTATTTCATGACATTGAATGGGAGCGAGGTTTGCATTACTTATTCTTTGTTACCATATGTACTGTTTAAAACATCCGTTTGAAATTGCATTAGTTCAATCTGTCTTAATGCTGCCATTAACTTTGTTAGTTTTTTTGCTTCAAGGCCCGTCATGTACTTCAGTTAATGCCATTGCTAACTTTCTTGCATGTGAATTTTGCTTGCTTTGAAAAAGGATTGGCTTGCATTGTATGTTTATTTTTTTGACTGTAGCCCTGTATAATATTTTATTGGAAGTGCTCGAATGATTAGCACTGTCTTGACGGGAAGGAGTCTCTACTTTTTTATCCATTCAAAAGGGAGTTTAAGAAGAGGCCTTCAGGGTTTTCTCAAAACTAGGTCACACAGCTGCATTGCAAACAGCCTCTGTTCATCTCTTTCCACCTTTTGTTTTTGGTTTTCTTCAATGATGGAAAAACACCACATAAAATGAACCATGACAATACTAATGTCTCCTTTTGTTCAGCCATCCTATGAAACTTGAAAGGATTTAACATTGAGGGCTTTTATTATATTTTCTTCTTTAGAATTTCGTGGTTATATAAGTAGTCTGGAAGTGCTTTGTAGATTGCTTATTTTACATTTTTTATTTAGGTGTCTGTTAAATAACTAGTTTGATTATTTTTCATGGTTTTGTTGCTGATGGTAGTGACTGGGGGCTTCTGGCATCTCTGCTGGATGAACACATCATTTTGTGAACTCCCTAGTAATTGCGATTTTGACACGTTGATTGGTGGTTCTGTTGTGTTTAATTTTCTAGCATCTCTGCTGGATGAACACATCATTTTGTGAATCTCTTTTGTCTTGATACGTAGATTTGATCATTATTCTGGCTTCACATGATTTAAGCATGAACTTACTCTAGATCTGTGAAGCTTGCCTGAACCTGAAAATTATTGGAACCAATGTGTGTGGTCAGCTTTGTTAGGAAGGAATGGGTTATATTCAATGTGATAGAACTTGGTCAATTGCTTTCAGTTTGATGAGGATGATGTTCAATCTCATTTCTATGGAGATATTATGTTATATAGATCCTCTACCTGCATTTGAAGTTGAATTTTGTGATTCTATTACAGGTAATCGATGCATGTGCTAAAGGAAATTTGGGCCGTTTCATAAATCATAGCTGTGATCCTAATTGTCGCACAGAAAAGGTAATATCTTGCTAACTAGTCTTTTGTGTAGATCTGGAAGTGGTTCAAAGTCTCGCTTTAGAATTAAAATGCCATGCATTTTGCAGAACTTTCTTATAATCTCTTAGATAATTCTCTCTCTCTCTCTCTTTTTTTTTTTTTTTTTTTGGCACAGTTAAAATTTTTTTCCCCACTTTTTGCAGATGATGTTCCCCCACTTTCCACCTTTCTTCACTTTGCTTGTTGATATTTCATTAATTGTTGAAAAATTTGATTCACGTTGTTCCTTCATATCAGTAATTGTCTGACTTGTATTGTTATTTTGAAGAAGTATCAGGTCATAGAACGCCGATAAATTTGCTTTGCCTGTGAGATTTTTACTGATTATGGTTTTGAAAACTTGGAGATAAAATGACCTCCAGAATATCAACATTATGAAAAGAAAAAATTTCAATGTAAACAATGGAGATCATTTGTGAAATGATTTGCCTTGACATTTTAAGATAAACTACTATTTAATGTGACTACATCACTTTAAGGATTCCATGTTTTTAAGTTTTTTAATTTTTTTTATTAAGATGCAAAAAGAGGTTTTTCTGTCCCAGATTTCTGAAATTGAGGAGATAATAATAGGCTGTTTAAAAATGATATACTTAGTTTCAAATATTTTCTCTGGATTGGATATTAGTTATTTCGTAGAAAATATACTAAGTCTGAATTAAAACTTTTAATCAAGATGGTGGCTGTGAAGATTTTGGACCCAGTTTGTTTAAAATACCAATTCTTTTCAAATTTCTATCAGGACTGTAGTAGTTCACACATCCCTCTGCCCAGAGTTTATGGGGTCAAATTTGGCAATAGTATATTTTTGTTTCCTAGAAGAGGATAACTCTGTTCTTAGTTGGACAAGAAAAAGTTACACGACACATGGCAAATTTTTGTTATCGACAGGAGAAGAAATGCACCGATCTTAGGTGGGTTAGAAAAAGCTCTGGACAAGTTATTCTTGCGTGACATATTATCAATGCTATCTTGGAATCTGCAATTTACAAGGATTAAGTATTAACTTTCACTTGACAGTGTGTGCATGAGTTATGTGTTGAAATCTCTCTCAGATAAATGACATCGAATTCACTGTGATTGTTGCATGTATTATGTGCAAATAGCATTTGTTGACTGTTTATCACAAAGATAGGTTCAGTATCTGCTAGTTTACTACATATCTCATCAATGTACCTAAATCGCTTTTCCATATTTATTCTATTGTTAGCACAAAGCAAATGTTCCTGTTTCCTGAGATCTAGCTACTAATAATATCATACTTGTTTTTCTTTTTTTGATGTTGGAAAAATATTAACTCTTTATCTGCTGGGCAGTGGATGGTGAATGGAGAAGTTTGTGTTGGACTGTTTACTTTAAGGGATATTAAGAAGGTAAACTTCCTTCTCCCGATAAACATGGCTCATTTTCTATTTCAATCCGACCTGCTTGCCCTTTTCTTTGAGGTTGTGAGATTTTATACTGTTCTCTGGAATAATGTGAGACTTGCATGGCTGTTGGGTTGTTTTCTTTGATAATTTATTCCCCCTTATTTCTTGTTTGCAGTAGTAATGTATAATCTCACATTTAGCATTATATTGGCTTTGAGTAACATATACAAGGCTTGGTAATAAGGCCTTTTAACACTAGTAATATAATTTCCGATTCATTTAGCCTGTGCTGGTTTTGATTCTCTAGTATCTGATTATAAATTTGTTTTGGACCTTTGGTTGCCTTGTTTCTGAATGATTAGTAGTGTAAGGAATGCATGCGCTTTTATGCTTTGAACTTCCAATGTCCAGGGTGAAGAAATCACTTTTGATTACAATTACGTACGTGTGGTTGGGGCTGCTGCAAAAAAGTGCGTATGTGGTTCACCTAATTGTCGGGGATATATAGGTGGCGGCGGCGATCCATTAAATGCTGAAGTAATTGTCCATGATGATTCTGATGAAGAATATCCAGAGCCTGTTATGTTTTGTGACGACAAAGAGATGAATTATTATTGGAATGACATAATGAAAACTTCCTTAAATGATGGAGAAAACAAATTTGTGAAGGAAACAGTAAATGGGGATAGGATGGATGATGAATGTCAACGTGAGGATTTTTCTTCTGCTGCTGCTGTGCATTTGGATGCGAACAAACAAGCTCAAGGCTCTGCGAACAGATCTGCATCTGCTGGTTTGAAAGTTGAATCTGAAGAAGCAGAACACTCCTGGTTTCATGTGGCTACTCCTGCATTATCTAGGAAATCGTTGTCTGATGTGGTTGGAAGTATGGAGAAATTGGAAGCTGGTATTGAGGGAAGAAGGGATGAATTAGCGAAATCATATACTCTTTCAAAAACTCATAGCCCATCATCTTCAGCAAATAAGGGAAAGCTTAAAATTAATTCTATGAAAGACCAAAGAAATCCAGATGTGGACAAGTCACTCGCATTACCATATAAATCTAATAAATTACTGGAACTTTCCTTGAATAGCCAGTTTGAAGCAGGTAAACAATTATCTGTTCCTTGCTTTGATCTTGAGCTCCTTCTACTTCCATATGCTGCAATAACTTCTGCATCTAAATGATTACAGTTGAAGCAAAGCTGAATGAGTTGCTAAATCCCGACGGTGGTATAAGCAAGCGAAAAGTAAGATACTGAGCTCTTACTAATGTACCTTCGTTTGTTCCTCATTCATTTTTCTCAGGCATCTAACTTTATTCCTACTTTATAAAAATAAGCAACTTCGGTTCTTCGTTCCTCAAACTTTGACTTCTAAATAATGTCGTAAAACGCTTTGATTCTGATTTCTCTAACGTGGTAGAAGTTGCTTGTCATATTGCAATAAAGATTGATCTCAATCTCATGCACTTGATCCTGTTGCATGTTCATATAGATAAGCCATTCTCCATAATTTAAATAGTCTTATTCTCTAACAGGATGCATCTAGAGGCTACTTGAAACTTCTTTTTCTAACTGCTGCTTCAGGGAATAATGACCATGGTGAAGCCATCCAGAGGTAATTTTAGATATTGTACTTTGGATGGTAGTCATTCGATTATTTAATTTTGTTCTTTCAGTTAGTAAAATCACCCTTTGTGTTTGCTTAAATGGTTTTCTTATCTTTTCCTTTATAGTAATCGAGATCTTTCAATGATTTTGGACGCACTTTTGAAGACGAAATCACGAACTGTTCTGATTGATATTATCAACAAGAATGGTAGTGTTTCCTGTTTTTAGTAATTCTTTTCCCTAATGTTCCCATTTTCATGGAACTGACTTTCTCTTCGTTCTCTAGGTTTGCAGATGTTACACAATATAATGAAGCGTTATAGAAGGGAATTCATTAAGACTCCGATTCTTCGAAAGCTTCTTAAGGTAAGTTTGTTTGAACTTTGTGATTTTTTTAAACTGGCTTGTTTTGCTATATAGTGTTCATATGGATCTGCAACTGTATGTCTGAAAGCATGTTGTAACTCTGGAATTACATCTGAAAAGGAAGTGAACTTTGGGTTTGATTTTTCAATTTAAGCTGAGTAGAAACCCTATTGGGTTGAAAAACTGCTCATCCTTAAATTCACGCTTGACCCTGCCCATGATTTTCTTGTGGTTTTCAAGCAGCTGGGATAGTTCTGCCTGTATCCATGAACACTCCACTGTTAAACATACCTTATGAGCAGGCAATATAGCCCGTCTCACCATTTAGAAAACAATATTTATGATCACTTTGGAAAATTCTAACTTTGTTGAATTCAGAAGGGAAGGCCTAGACTGTAGAATCCAATGTTGGATGAAAGCATAAATCCCTTTTTAATGTCAAACATCATACTTGCTTTTCCATTGCTATATGCCATTAACAGTATTTAAGGACAGGTTATGCATCTTATATCATAAAGCTGGTGGTGTTATAATAAATATTGCACCTTATTCTTTTCTGGAGATTGATGTTCTTTCAATGAAGGTTAAAACTGGAGAATTCTAGAACATGTTTTATCGTTACCAAAATTACTTATTTGAATGCAGTACAATTAGAGTTACTCCGATTGGATGGTCACTGTACTTTTATACAGGTTCTTGAGTAGTACTTGTTTTAAAGTACAGCTAAAGTTTCTGAAATGGTCACTGTTCATTATTCAGGTGCTTGAGTATCTGGCAATGAGGGAGATTCTTAATTTGGAGCACATAAATGGAGGCCCCCCACGTCCAGGAGTGGAGAGGTCAGAGAAAATTTATTACTTCATTTCACAATTAAATGTTTACTAAATTGAAACTATGTTTTCTTCAAACTTGTTTGATTATTTTTGTAAAAATTGCGTAGTTTTCAAATCTGAATGTGAAGGCATACTGGCACATTTTTTGAAGAAATTTTCATCTGATACTGATAAAAAAGAAGCATTCTCATTACTGTTCATCATAAACAAAAGAATTGTGTTCACCTTGGAGTGCTATGATCATATAATGTATTTTGGTTTTTAATATCTTCATGTTTTAAGTTTTCTGAACTGTATGTGATGGTGCCATGCAGCTTTAGAGATTCAATTTTGACACTGACAGAACATGCTGACAAACAGGTACTACATGTAAACTGCTTTTCATTTCATGTCAATTAGTTATTTTGCAGCCATGTTTGCTGGGAAATTTTGACAGAGACTGAAACATGTTCTTTGAGTGGAAAAAGGATGTCTTGCAACCTATTGTAGTTAATTTTGGATTGCATTCGAGCCCCGGTTGAAAAATCATTAGTATCTTAAATTTTAGAACCAAAAAACTGCATTCTAGCATCCTGGATTGATTTGGATTAGCCTGCTAGAAGTTTGTGAATGGTGTTTCTTCCCATAGTGTTTTGGAGACGGGTCCCTTTCAATTTTATTTTTGATTATTCATTTTTGTCAGCAATAATTTTATGTGCAAGTTTAGAAAAGATATAGTAATGCCATGACTCAAACAAGAAAGTAAGAAAATAGTAAAGCCTGACAAGGGAAAAAAGTAGTAATCGCTCAAACTAGGAATGTTTAATGTGAATAAAAATGAAAACTTCACATGTAAGTTTAGTAGTGAATATTGCTACAAGGTGTGCTGAAGTCCAGTAAGAATTAGGTGGAGGGCACTATATTTTGAGATGGTTGGATTTTAACTATTTTTGAAGGTAAAAAGTGGATTTTAAAGTTTCATTCTGAAGTTTTCAAATATCTAGGATGCTGTGATATTATAAGACGATTTCTTTCCAAAATTACCAAATTTTGAAGTTACTTGATTTTGACATAAATTTATAGTGCTTCATATTTTACATTAAAAATATACTAGTTTAAGATGGACTGTTCCATTACTTCGTTTAGAATCAAAATTTAACCAAGATGTTGTGGCATTATAGGTTTTAATGTGCTTATCATTAAAGTTATTTTCTAGTATTTGACGGAGTCAAAAACCATGTTGAATTTATTTCATATCATAATATAAATAAAACTGTCTACATAAAATGGTAGGTGTACTCTCATCCATTTATGGATCATACAAGCAGATGATAAACATTTGGTTTAATTCAAAAAGCTAGACCAATATAGAAGTTCAATGAATAAAGAATATAATATGAAAATTAAGAAAAATGTTGATTGAAGATAGTCTATGGCGTAAATTTGATTTTTAAGGGATGCTCTACACAGGATCTCGAAATTTTTTCCTAATTTATAATTGCTTGAAAGAAGAAGTTAGGGTAATCTGGAATTCTTTACTTGATGTTTTAGGATGACAATACCTCTGAAAGTACATTTTGTTGTAGGAAGTCTCATTTGCCTCTTTGAGTTCGAGTGAAGGATGATTTGGTATGTTTGATAGAAAACATCGGTTGTAATTTCCCCATTTTCCACAAAGCATTCAATGACCATAATTTCTCATACATGCTCTCTGCATTGGTGATTTTACAGATATTTCATTATTGTGAAATTGCTATGTTATTAACTGGATATTCTAATGGGTTTTGTGACTCTGCTTGAATATCGTGTTTCAATAATTCTTTGGAAGATTGTGAATGAGTTCATATTGCTGGCCTGTTATCTGGAAATTTGAGTTTGGTTTGGTTTCCTGTACTATGCATCAGGTCCATCATATTGCACGGAACTTTCGGGATAGGTGGATTCGACGGCCCATCAGGAAAAATTGCTGCCTGGACAGAGATCATGGAAGGATGGAATTTCATAACAGTTCAAACTACAATAGGTTCCCCATTTTACATGATGCTTCGAGTCGTAGGATTGGAAAACCTTCAGAAGCAATAGACAGCTGCACTGCACCCAGTGCAGTTATTACTGGTGCGTCAGAGGGATCTCGTGCATCATGTAGTAGTGATTGTGGTGCCAATGGAACAAAAACACGCAAGCGTAAAAGTCGATGGGATAATCCTTCAGTGTCGTACCTTCATCCAAGAATAAACGCGGTAGATGATGTAGAGCAGAACATTGATGAGGATGCTCCTCCTGGATTTAAATCTCTGCTTAATGCCTCGATTGCTCCAGATGCTTGTTCGACCGCTATTGATCAACATGAAAGAGCTATGCGTGTGAAGCATACATTTGATGTCGTATTGGGCGAATCACAACAGAGGTTCATTTCCCACTTGTCTGTATCTTATGGGGTTCCATTTCCTATCATGCAGCAATTTGGGACCCCTCAAACAGAATCTTTTAATGGTTGGAATGTAGCTCCAGGATTGCCATTCCATCCCTTTCCTCCATTGCCTCCATATCTCCGTGGCAAGAGAGACCTACCAACCTCTGCCAAATGTGCATCCATGTGTGAGGCGGCAGGACATGCAGAACAGTGCTTTGGTAATCATGCCAATCATCCCCCAAGTCAAAACCATACAGGCACCTGTATGGACTTACCATATACGAGAGTTTCATGTGCAAATGTCCATCCAGAGTTTCATCCTGGGGGTTCTTATGACATAGGGAGGAAATACTTTAGGCAGCATAAGTGGAATAATTCGAAGTTAGCACCGCCATGGATTCGAAATAAAAGTGGTTGGGGATATATGGGGAATGGCTCAAGAGATAGCATGGCTAATGTAGGTTGTGGAAGTGGGGCAAATGAGCATAAGAGTACATACAACACGCAGTAGGTCAGCATCAAATTGGGATTGTTGTAGACACAATTTATCAGTATTTACAAAAATGACATTAGCTTCATTCAATAGGATGATTTCCAAGGAGCCATAAAAATGATTCAGTGCTCCTTTTAATGTACTTACAATTCCTTTCAGCACAGCTACATTTGAAATGAAAACAATCTTCCTGATTCATCTATTTGTTAGGACCGAGGTTGGTCCGAGGAATATATACTGGCTTTGATTTTGTAGACACAATTTATCAGTATTTACAAAAATGACATTAGCTTCATTCAATAGGATGATTTCCAAGGAGCCATAAAAATGATTCAGTGCTCCTTTTAATGTACTTACAATTCCTTTCAGCACAGCTACATTTGAAATGAAAACAATCTTCCTGATTCATCTATTTGTTAGGACCGAGGTTGGTCCGAGGAATATATACTGGCTTTGATTATGGAAGGTCATAGCTTAAAAGAGGTAAGCATTCTTCATTGGTGGTGTTATTGTGTTATAGATAAGGGAAATGTTAGTGGTATAAAATTTTTGGTATATAGGAGTGTACATCCTCTCACATGGGTGGAGCCCGTTATCCAAGCGGGCCACACCCATGTGTGAGGGTGGACACCCCTATAGACCAAAAATTATGTACAAGTATCTTTATTCTATAGGTAAAAGGAGCACTTTTCTGGTTGGATAGAAAGGGTAATAGGAAGTATAAACTTTATTTGGATATGATTTTGGCCATGTAGATTGAATTTTTTGCTCCAAAATTTATTTCTTTTATTTATTTATGGCTAGCATTTTTCTTTAAAAAGCTTTTTCTGATGCAATCCCTTTGGGAACGTCTGGAAAAACCGGAATTTACTGAGGTCATCAAGAAAACTAGTTTTTGGCTATGGCGTTTGCGAAGTTAGCCAGAGGCGCCATAGCCTCGGGTTCTTGGCAGATGAGGCGTCCCCTAGAAAAATATGACTAAAAACGTCCGTTCTTCAGTCCTTCAGCGTACAGTCAAAAGCTACTAACGAAAGTGAATGTAATATTACGGTAACGACGTCAAGGTGGTTCCTTTGGTGGCGACCTGACGGTTACCTATACTTTTTGGCTTTAGCCAACTTTTTCTTGTTCTCCTTTACAGCTTTGGGAACTGTATGCTTTCTAGCCTCCTCCTTCTCTTCTTTAACTTTCTTCTTGTTTTCTTTCCTGCCTACTTCTCCGTCAGCTGGCCCCTGCTTCTTATTGCTTTCAGAAGATGAATCTTCAGACTCACTTGAACCGCTTTCACTTTCCAATCTCTGAGTCTCCGTATGGCAAGTCAGGATGTTCAGTGGCCTGAGCAGAGGTCCCCGTTATTGGATCTCCATTCCTCTGATGCTGCTCTGCTTCTGATTGAGAAGAATTGGCCGTAGAAAGAGCCCGCTTCAAACCTGTAATGTTCAGATAAGTGATAATACAGGTCCCCTGTAACCTTGCCGCTCGTGATTCGTTGCGCGTCTTCCTCAGCATTCTACACGTGATCAAGTGTTTTTGGGATGAAAGACTAGAAAAACCAACAAAACTTGGCATTGAGAGAGAGAGAATTCATTCAACAAATCATTTTGCTAAAACAATAACTAGATTTTGAGCTTCAGATGAATAAAGACAAAACACAATTAGCCAATAAGGTAACAAAAGACTTGCCCAAATACATGTGCCACTCATCCATTTATTTGCATACAAAAATAGGACAAAATCAGCAACATTCAAAATTGTTCATGTGATTTTGAAGTTGCAGAAACAAAAAGAGAACAAAATCAGCAACATTAAAATTTGAATTGAACACCATGCAAATGATGGCTTATGGCTGTTGAAGGATATTGGCAAATAATAGTGTCACTGTGAATATATATTTGGACAGAGTAACGACGTTTGGATGATTTTGAATGGTCGAGGCAAGAGTTTGACTCTTTCTCCTTAAAACGATAATGCCCCGCACTGGTACTGACGGTATT